ATTATTATTATTATTTATTTTTTGGCCTCACAGAGTTTCCCGTACTGTACTAGTATAGACACTGTTATTATTATTATTGACACAATAGTCTTATTAGGTGGTGTGTGGTTATCCAGGGCTACATGGTCAGTTTGTTCAATCTGATTTAAGTTTAATGATGTGTTTTCTTGTTTTCCACAGAGGAGGAGTACAAACGACTAAGTGAGGCTCTGGCTGATGAAGGTACCTACAATGCAGTGGCCTTCAAATACAGTGCTGACTACTATGATCCCTCTCAGCCCACTGAGGAGGAGGATGCCAACAAGGAAAGCGGTGAGAAGTCACATCATTTGCATACTTGCCCAATGAGTCAGTCACTCTCTGATACATGTTATCGGTCAGCCATTTGGATATATTTACAAATACATGCAGGCCTGATATTCTAATGTGTTTCATGTAATCTATCAAACACCCTTTTGGATCATCAGGGGCTTTATTTATTTAATTTATTTATTATTTATAAAGGCTGCTACGCACAAAATAGTTGCTGAAATGTGAAAATTTCCCTGCAAAAGTTGAGATTAATAGAGGAATTATGTGCGGTATAGTATAGTTACTATTTAGGATTTTGTCTCCTCAGCTGGCTCAGTCTCCGTTGGTTAGCGGTCTTATTTTAGTTCTCAATAAAACAAGTGCTTTTTGGTGGATCGTTATACGCCGAATTCAACACCGACTCATAACACCGTTAATTCACTGTTATGTTCCTGTGACGGTTTTTGTGGTCGTAACCATGGTTGCTGTTTGGTGCTGAGAGCGCATCTACCTTCAGATAATATTTAACTTTGGCTGCTCCGTCTTTCCCTCACTGATAGTGTAACTAAGTTTCCTTAAACAGGTCGGTATATTGATGATCTATTTAGCATTGACCATTTATAGATCATTCTGGGAAGACACTATGAGAAGTAAACGCACAAACAATTCAGGTGGTTATAAAGAGGAATCGCGTTATTGCATGTAAATGTACTGCTTGAAACACCTCTTGTGACCTTGACATGCTCAGGATGGGATCTGTGCCATTTCAAAGTTTTTAGCTCCTTGACTTTTGTTTTTTGGCTGTTGCAGTCTGCTGAAGAACTCAGCGGCTCTGCCTAATCCATTTCTTCTTTACTTTAACTGCTCTAATCCATGCAACCATCTGCAGACACACAACCCCCACGGAGCACACAATGAACGGGGCAAACATATTTGAAATGTTATATTTAATTCAATATTAAACAATTATATCATAATATTTCAAAAGTTTATTATAATTATTTGTAACAACCATGTATCTGAGGCAATACAGCTATAGCATAAAAGAAGACATTTACACTGACCAGTGCCAACTTTGGTTGTCATCCATCCACACACACACACACACACACACACGCACTTGCAGCTTTAAATATTTGATGTAGAGATTGCTGGAAGCACTCTGTCCCAACCGGTAGCCTGACAGTTAAGCAGAATAGATGCCTCTCTCTGGGGAGGTTGCAGAGTTGTATAAATATATCTACCAGAGCTCCAGAAGAATTTGTCTTTTGGGAATAAGTCAACCAGGATCATGTCACACTAGCCATTAACATTTTGCGCTGATTTCAACTGAATCCCTGCTACAATTTTAGGTTTTTGTGATTATGATTTTTCTCTTCTCGCTTTTAAGGTCTTTGATATTATCATAAATGCAAAATCATTAAAAAGTCTCCCACCAGAATCTAAATTTCAAGCCTCAAAGAAAGAGTATTTGGGCTAGCAGATACAGAGACACATAATCACAATATTAATCAAGTAATTGTCACTTTATTTGCTGAGTGAAAGCCAAATAAGCCAGAAGGTTAATTGCAGTATAATTTATCATCTGTTGTCTGCGACAGATCTAGGTCTTATTGTTAACCTACCTGTGAAACCCCACACTAATTATTACCCAGTCATTTTCACAATACAGCTGTTGATTTCATATCCTGTCAAAATAAGGAAGCTGATTTGAATATGAACTATATCTATTAGCTGAATTTATTTAAATTTACCCCACATATTTCTAACTATTAGGGACTATTGGCTCTCCTATTCAGCTGTGTAAGCAGACTGCCTTCTTGTCTCCCTGTATGGAGCTGCTGACTCAATGTGTGGCAGTATTTTTGTAGATAAGCAGTTTGCTACTTCATCACAGGATAAATGGGAATGCTGCATTGCCATTTTGAGGTGTGATAACCACTGAGTTTCATATACTATACCACTTTAGAATTAGCAGCATGATCCAAATATAAGCTAGTAAACCATGATAATAATCCCGTTCTATAACTGAAGTAATGATTACTTTCAAAGTTAGGGCACTGTTTGGAAGGCCATTACATGATCACTAAATTAGAGTTGAGCCCTCACATAAGATGGATTGACACTGCGTACCTTCAGGTCCTGCCAAAAGCTGATTTCAAAACTGTACCCATGGCACACCTTACACGACAAGCCAAGTACCAAGTAAAATGTGTAGGAATTGTGAGAAGGCTGTTTATTTTTCCCCATAGATGGCTTAAATTAAGAGGCGTGCCTCCTTCGTTACTGTGCAAACTCCCAACAGTACTACATTAAAAGTGCTAATCTAGTTTTACCCTGACATTACATTTCTTATCAAGTGTAGATGAAGGTAAAGGAAAGAGGATGAAGAATTTTTTTACTGTGATATATTTGTATAGTGGATGGAACGGTGCAAGTGGTTCACTCACTTTAAAAATGTTTTAGGACATGGAAGGGTTATTGCTCAACTGGGTATATATCCAGCGAGATATATTTTCTTTTTCGTTACAAATGACTAACAAGACTTCGTCTCATCCTTTTTGTGTTAATATCTCTTCACATGCATAGAAGAGGCAGAACCCGAGGAGAGTGAGGAACCATTCGTTGCTCCCCCAGGGCTCGCTATCCCTCCTGATGTGGAACTGGTGAGTATTAAATATCCAGCTGCTAAACTGATCTTGATATACCCTATTGCGCTTTTATACATACTATATATAAACACAACACAAACATGTATGTGCACCGTGGAGTTTGCAGAATAACATATTAGACTTGTTTGTAAAGAGCCAGTCGTGTCAAGAATTGATCCCTGACGATGGCCACATGCGTACCGGTTAGACTTTAGGTAGCTGCACTTATGGAGCCAGGCCTGTGGCAGTTGCTCTCCACCAACTTCAGGGCATGATGGGCCTGGTACCTGGCTCTCTCCTGATCTAGGAGCTAATTGGTTTAGTTGTTGTCAGCAACGTGAGCTTTTATTGCAAGTCTTGATTTTCCATTTAATTTTGAATTTACTAGACTGATATAACAGAATAAATGTGTGATTGATTGCTGCTTTTATTACTCAGAGAGGCTGAATAGATTCAGTAGGTTATATTAGAGATAGTTTTCATAGACTGCATACAATCTACGATAGGTTGAGTCTACAATATGAACATTACCTAGCCTACTTGTATAATTCTTCTTCTAAAAAAGTATTATGAAGTATAGATGAGAAATCCTGACAGTCAAAATATCAAATCAGTAGTGCTTTTTCCTCTTCCTGTGTATTTCAACTATGGATTAATGTTTTCTTTAGTTTGAATTTAGTCTGTAAAAATGACAAAAAAACGTGTCCATCGTAGTTTCCCATAACCCAATGTGGCGTCCTCAAATTGACCAACAGTCCAATACCCAAAGACCTTTGGTTACTATAATAAAAGACAGAAATAAGAAAACCACCAACTATTCACATTTCAGAAGCTGGAAGCTTAAAAGTTTTATGTCCTAACAGTATATTCATCTTTATGATGCTAGCACACCTCTGCTATAGCACATATTTGTTGTATATACAAATATATACATATAGGTAATGCTTCACATTGACTTAACATCCAATGATAACATGCACAGAGTATGAGGTTGCTTTGTTCTATCTGGCAGTTTTGTGTCAGACAACCTTCCCTCAGGACCAGGCCAGTCTGCAACCTTAACCCGCAGCAGTCCCCTTCAGCTGCCACTTTCTTATGCATGAGACTAAAGACAAGCTTTAATGTTGGCATGGACTGTGCATATTCAGTATATATCGTGTTGGGTATAAAACTGTCAAAACACCCCTGTGAACACATACAGAGCACAACATAGCTGCAGTACATGATCTGCATATAATATTAGTGTCTACTCCCTAGATTTGGAAAGAATATCCTTTTCTCTGAATACATTTCAGTGTATTATTACTTTTAAAGGCTTTTGTTTTTGGAATGTTAATTTCCTTTGATAGTCATAGCAGAGATGACAGGCAGCATGGGGAGAAAGCAGGGAATGACGTGCGTCAGAGGTCTTTCTCCTGAATCTAACCTGGACGTTGTGATGCATCTCAGACCGCTAACTTATCTGGAGCCAAATATTAATAGTTTCAATGCCGTTTACAGTGCAGTAAGTTGTTGCTGTGTTTTTTTATAAACTAAGATTATTAAGATTAATTAGATGTTTTTTTTTATTTTTTAATGAATGCACCCCAGCTGTTGGGTGACATGAGATAACAACTGTAAACTGTACATTTTGCTTTCAGGGCTGGCGTACTTTATGACTGTTACACGTTAGTTATGTTTTGTTTTGCCGTAGAAACACTGCTGCTCAGTTAAAGATATGGCTGAAGATGCTTTTCTTGTATATATCATGTCAACATAAAATAAGTATTACACATCCCCTTTTTACCTAATGGATAAGTTCTTAAATCGAAGTGTGAAAGGCCCTTGTATGTCAGGAAGTCCTTGGCAGATTGGAACACAATAATGGTATGTTAGTGTTGGACACCGGCATCTTTTTGGCCAGTGTCTTGAAAGGTAGTATTTATTATGACTTTCATCTCGATGAGAGATGTGTGTTGTTTTGGAGATTGCTGCACTTCTCTGTACTCTCTAGGTAATGACAATGATTAATCATTGAAAGCACACAAGGGGAACAATAATGAATGAATAATGGACCATTTCTTGTTCCACTGATTTCCACCTCATGTGTACTTAAGAATTAATGTCATCACAATGAACATAAGAGTGCCCAGCATGAGAATGCTTTAGAGACAAAATGGCTTGTGTCCTTGGTATGAGGGAGCCTTTCGTAAACTGTGCATTGCATCTTAATTGTGCAGCATGTGGAGCAGTCAGGTTCGCTCATTCTGATATGTGGTAATGATTATTTTACACTATTTTGGCTAAAGCAGAGTGTTTCTATAAGAAATGTTTCTTAAATATGCATTAAATATGTTCAGTTTAAAACATTCATGTTCATTATTTGACTTTTTTGCAGCCGGCAACCATCAAGACCCATAACATCATCGAGAGGACAGCCAACTTTGTCTGTCAGCAGGGGGCTCAGTTTGAGATAGTCCTAAAAGCTAAGCAGTCTGGCAACTCCCAGTTTGACTTTCTTCGTTTTGACCATTACTTGAATCCTTATTACAAACACATCCTGCGGGCCATGAAGGAAGGTCGATACAACCTTGTTTCCGCCAGCAAGCAAGAGCAGTCGCAGGGTGAGTTACAGAAAGCTGTCCCGAATCCATAGGTTATGTCCTTACACAGAGATGAGATTTGCACTGTGCTGTGATCAATGCAGGAATATTAGATATGTAATACATGCAATCAAACACAGCGTAAGAATGCAGTAAGACACATTAACTTTCTGCATTGATTATAATGTTAAATATTTATTCATACATATATTCAGTACTTGTTTTGCTCTTTTTTTTTGGTTTATTTTTTACTTTCTTGCTGTAGACTCCCACTCGGATGATTCAGATGAGGATGGGGACGGGAGTTACCTTCATCCCAGCCTGTTTGCCCCTAAAAAATGCTCTCGCCTGGAGGAACTTGTGAAGGTAATGTAAATAGAATGTAGGCCACCCAGTGCAGCACTTTACCTGTTCGAGACAGTTGCTACTTTCCATTGCGACGCCGTCCTGGGAAAACATTGTATCTTCCTGGTTTTGACTTATGTAGCTTATAAAGCAGGATAATTATGTTCATTGGACGGTGACCTTTAGGCTGCTCATCTAAAGGAGTCAGACTGGAAATGGCGCTATTACACCCTCTTTATTAGTAGTCCTCCTTATGCAGTATGCTGCAATTCTAACTGCGATGTGAATTGCATCTAGCACTTGTTAGAACTGCCTGTGTCTGTTATTGCATTCTCTAATAACTATATTCTGTTTCCTTGTCTTCATGCTGTTAGAGTTTTCTCTTGATGCTCTTCATAGGCCTTGTAGGACAGCCATTAGTCTTTGACAGGGCAGCAAGAATGGAAGCATGTCTTTTTTTTTTTATAGAAACATAATGAACTCCTTTTAGTAAGCTTTTAACGGTTGCCTCTATCAAGAGGGATTCTCAAATCAGCTACTCAAATTTTCTACTAATGATTCATGTTTTATATTTTATGGGGTTAGATCTTTAAATTCTGTATATTTCTTATACTGGATGACTGGAAATCACTGCATAAGATTACTTCCAGAGTAATGCTTAAATATTGCACGGCATTTCATGGTTTTTCGACTTCAGAGAGCTTTGAGTATTTGGTGGCTGTATTATATTATTACTGTAAAATGGTTCTGTCACTTATAATTGCATATATGGTATGATCTCAGTGCTGGCCTTATTTTTCTGCAGCCTCTGAAAGTAATGGACCCAGACCATCCTCTGGCAGCACTTGTACGAAAAGCCAAACAGGAAAGAAATGGCACTGCAGCAATGGCAACTAAACCAGAGGAAGTGCCAGACCCAGCTGCATCCAGCACACCAGCACAGTACACTACGGACCGTGAGTATAGATATAAAGACTTACAGTGTTCATCACACTTTGGGTCTACTTTATTTTGTCACATCTTTACCCATGTAGGGTTGCTCTTGTTTATCTACCATTGAGCACAGAAATGGCTTCCTTTGTAAAAAAAAATAAAAATAAAAATCGAATGCCTCCCTGCTCTACTGCGCAGTTATTATAACTGCCTTTTTTTGTTGATATTACTGTTGACCACAGAAAACTGGCATTAGACGCCCTCCTTTTGGACTATTTTCTGCTTACAGTGTTCTGCCACTGCTCGTTGTTCAACACAGCTTCCCACTCTTTAATTCTGACCATAGGCTATAATTGATGTGAAGGCCTTTTCAGACCATTACCTCCTGTACTGACCTAAACCTGCTCTCAGTTCCACACTTTCTTGTTCACTTGGGTTCTGGGTCAGGCCAGATTTAAATAGATGTAGGTCTTTAGTGTGTGCAGTTTTTTTATTAGACCTGATGAGCGCAGGACGCATCTCTAGTATCTATCAGTAACACGCAATGTACAATATATGTATAACAAACAATTCAAAAGTGTAGGAGCAAATGTGTCTCATTAAGTCCAATGTAATGCCACTATCCTCAGTAAACATAGTGTATAATATTCACAAAAACAACATTTTTAGATTAAATGGAATGAAGCAAGTGCAATTACATAAATTCAAAAGAATGCCTGTTTCATTACCAGCTGAAATCAAATTAATTACAGATATAAAATGGCTATTATTATTATTATTATTATTAATTTATAGGCACTCTATGCAGCACATCCGTTTCGTGCTTTGTATTTGAACTATGTTAAATTGCGGCATCCCTATAAAATAAATACAAATTCATATGCCTATCCTTCAGTGAGGAGTCACATCTACCCCAACACTGCCATTCAAGGCCTTTTTCATGTATGAGTTCATGCTCCCCTGAAACAGTTGCTTTCATAAACCCACGGTCATTGGCTCCTGCTGACCTGTGAGTGTTTACTTGTCCATTGCTGCAGTGAATTCATCCCTCAGACAGTTGTGGAGTGTGTCCTTTGACCTGATCTTCTATTTGCAGTCAAAATAGGGCTGTTGATAATAATGTGTGGATGACGTAGTGCTATTGATATGAACTTCTCAAACTTATGATACAGCACATGGAAAACAATTTGCTTCATTACCTCTTTTGTACTGGATTGCCTCCCTTAGTGTATGTAATGAGTATGCTAAAGACCTAACAATAAGAGCAGCTCCATCTCACCATGTCTGACCAACTATTCAACTAAATTTCGTTTTTATCCTTCCACTTAAATCTTAAGTCTTTATCTTAGCTGTAACACATTTAAGTAGGGTTGGGTGAAAAATTTCCAACTGACAATTGTTCATTTCGCACAAGCATGTGTGCTGCGGCGGCCCCACCCCCCCAATAACTGACCCAGTAGTTGCAGCTGAGAGAGATAAGCGTCATAAGCGTTCTCATAGTTTTAAAAAACAAAATAAACTCACAAAATGTCAAGAAGGGCAAAGAAAATATATAAAACCTATTTTCCTTATTAAACAGAAAAATACAACTGTACACCTTCTGAATTCAGGTTTCTCTCTTTTACAGAACTAAGACCTGCTTAATTGCCTTTTTAAGCAATTAAAAAACAAAACTTGTTTCAAAATCGACAGAAACCAAATAAAACTCACCAGAATGGTCTTATTAGTCTTTCCACTGTTCCAACAACCAGCAACTCTGGAGTCTAACCGTCTAACTGAGTTAGATGTGAAAATATTATGGCGCTACAGGCTGTGGCTTCCTCTCTGGCTGCCCGACCACCCTCTCGCTCCTCTCCCGCTTTACAGTGGCCTGTCTCGGACTGAAATCACTGTGTCCTCATCTTTCCCGAGTCTTGGTGGGAGCCTCTGTGAATCCCCTAGTTACTGTATTCAAAAAACTGTTAAACTAGACGGAATAACCCCTAATTCACCCCAGTTAAGTATGAACTCTTTCTATGGCTTACTGTGCTGCTGAGTTGCGGTTCTCGTTTTTCGGAGGCAGACCGTTAAATAATCCAAATAAAATGACAAAAATGGACCCAAAAAAATTGTCCCAAAAAAACCCAAGCACCGAAAGCCGATATATTCGTTCAGTCACCCAACACTAATGTCAGGTTTGTAAATGAAAGCCCCTGCTTTGGTTTTCCATTTTCCTGACTAGAGAAAATTGGATGTCATTTAAGTCAACCAGCTCAGTGACTAATGTGTTAATATCACACTGTCTCCACTTTCACACTGACCAATTATTTTTGTGCCTCTCCCTGTATTGCCCCACTCTTCTTCTCCTCTCTCTTTTCAATAGAGGGTCTTTGTAATACAAACCCACTGATTCAAGAAATTACACTTTTGCACATTGGTCATGTGTTGATTTATATTCTCTTCCCCTTGTTGATTCAAATTAATTACTGCACAACAAACACATTAAATACACATAAAAACATAGTTAGATGGTGAACAGGACAGCCCAGTACGTAAAACAACCACAACAAAAAGCAAGCTTTAGTGACGACCTTTCATAGCCATATAATGAATATCTCTAAACCACTTAACTGAATTTCTGATGTCTGACAGCAACAACCACACTGATGTGGCAAATTCGAATGCAGCTGCTCACACTTTGCCTGCACTCGCATCATAAAGCATGAAAGCACGCAAGCTATGGTCTTTAAGGTCACTATAGAATCAGCAACTGTGACAGTCTTAACAAAAATTGAATTTTATGATCCTCTCAAAGTTGTTATTTATAGCGTGGCTGTGGAATGGATTGCATTACAATGTGCACTTTGTGTCCACATGAAGTAACAGTAGATGTTTATCTGGCACAATTGAAGCATTTCTGGGGGGAATTTCGTGTAATCATTTGCTGCTCATGTCTTTACAGCAAATTCAGCTGCAATGTACTACGGGTACTACATGCTTCCTGATGGAACGTTCTGCTTGGCTCCACCTCCCCCGGGCATAGATGCCAGCTCCTACTATAACAATATGCCCTCAGCTGTCATGGCTCCCCCTACGTCTTCTGTGACTTTGCCTAATCTGGGAACTACACCCACGGCTCTTGAAACTACCACCTTGGCACCACCAGCTACAGCCCCCTCTCAGGTCACCAGCTCTGCTGCTTCTGCTCTTGTACCAGAAACCAGGTAGGAAGTAATGGTCATCCCTGTGTAATAACATTTTCTCCTTGATAGTTTTAGTTGCATTTAACAGGTTATTGATTTTTTTTGTGTTTCTTGTATTTTGCTTTATCAAAAATTAAGTACTATGACAGCACACCTGTTTTAATAGCCGAAACACAACAAGCATCATCAGCTTGACATCTTTCATTTCTCCCAAAACAGTGCAAAACCAGAAGCTCAAGTTCCCACACAAGCACCGCAAGCCATCATTCCCCCACCACCTGACATCCAGCCAGTCATAGACAAGCTGGCCGAGTACGTTGCGAGGAATGGTGTTAAGTTTGAGGCCAGTGTACGTGCCAAGAATGATCCACGGTAAGTGTTCTTACCAGAAAGAAATCTGTTGCCCCGGTCAGGTCTGGGTTTTAGGAACTCTTTATCAGTAACTTTCCATTCAGATACTTCAGAGCCTCTTCATCATCCTTTGGCTCATCTTTTATGAGTGCTCACCTCTCATCTCATACAGTATGTGTTGTTCCCTCTATCTACTGTAGGTTTGACTTTCTGCAGTCTTGGAATCAGTACAACACCTATTACGAGTTTAAGAAGAATTACTTCATGCAGAGGGAAGGAAGGTTCTTGCCAGAGGTACTATACGCTTCATATATGTATCAGTGTGTGTGTTTCTGTACGTAAGTCAGACAGACCCCCCCTCCAGCTTTGTTAACCACTTTACGTTCCTGTCCACATCTTGACACCTTTGTGCAAAACATGTATTTTTGACACACTCATTTTAGTGGCATGGCCACTTGGCCTTTGTGCCCTCACAAAACTGACAACACCAAAGTGATGAAATAATGAAACTAAGTGTCAAAAATATATGTTTTGCCCATCAAATGAAACAATGATTTGATATCCACTGAAATAATAAATTTAGGTTAACAAAGAAGAACGTTTTTCAGTGGCCACTTTTCAGGCCACTGGGTCAGCTAAGTCAACATATATATGAGAAATGCATAACATTATATGCTAAATTTCTTGTCTAGTCACAGATTTGTGGCATTGGCTCATCATGATGAGTTTGGTTAAGTCTCCTGATTGGCAATTGCTAGATTTGTGTCAAACTATCATCATAAATAGCCAGGTTTTCCAGTGGTTCATACAGTGCTCGAGATCAAAGCCACCACTGGTTATGTGTGCAGCCTTCACTTGATGTTGTCCAATAAGAATTCAAAATCTCATCAAAAGACACTGGTATATAAAAACCATATCAACAGGACAACGGGGAAATTAGCTGTGCCAGTGCAGGCAGGGTATCAAGGCCACTTTGGCTGTAGGGCATATCATTTTTGAGGGGCATAAGGCAAAACTGAGGGGGCATTGCAGCCATCATGGCCCCTGTAACATTTCTGCCCGATGGTGTTTGATACAGTTCACCAGTACAACTACCACATTGCTAAAACATTTTGTATGGGTACTTATGGCCCCCAGTTAATGAATTATAATGGTTATCATGACTGTACTGCTACATTGTTATCACAGCTGCTACAGAATCATAAGCCAAACTCCTATATGAAGCCCTAAAGCTTTGCCAAGTGGCACATGAGTTTTACAGAGCAGATGAAGTACATTTTCAAAATGAAAGATCAGTGTAATAATGCTTGCATTTGTCAAGAAAAAAAAGTGGAAAAAGCTAATATAAGAAATATATATGAGAGAGAGAGGGACAAATAGCACATCATCCCACCAGGTGACCTTCACACCTAGGAGAAACACATTTGTCTCCTGTCATCCACCTCACTCTTCTCCACACCTGTATGTAATTCTGTTTAACAGCGTTAGCAGCCAAAGTTTAGACATGGGAAACGGTTGTCTAAGCATTTTCTGCACTTACAGTCAACCTTAAAATTAGCTGCTTTTTGTTGCTGATAAGCAGGGACCTGACAAATTAGAGGCATCCTAATCCAAAATATGAAATGAAGGATGAGAGTGATGTGGGAACAAGGAAAGATACCAATTGGAGTTTTGTCAAAGGTGGATCCAGTCCCCTTACAGGGCACCACAGCACTGCTTTCAAAAAGACCCACTTTCTTAACTAGCCACCCAGTTTCCTTTTCCACCTTCAAGACTTTTAACTCCAGATTCTACCAGTGAGAATTTCAGTTCTTCCCAGTCTAGTCTCCCTTGTATCAGGAATTGTATACAATCGAGGTAGAATGCTAGTTTACTTGTCCAGCCTTGCTAGTGCTGCAAGGCTTCCACTCCCCATCACTGTCTGTATATTTGCATCAAACCTGAAATCCAATCGTGGTGTAACAGGACTTTAATGAGGCATCCCACCCAATTAGCAGCAGTGCCAACAGACATGTAGCACTCTCACTGGCTCGCCTAGCTCCCAGTGGCACATGCCGTATATACTGTATGGTGTATTGGGTAACCAGTAACTGTTGCTAACAAATTCCCCGTGGGTTAGGAAAGAGGTTATTGTTTCTGGGGAAATTAAATTCCCCTTGGCATTATGGTGCCACAGAATCTCGCAGAAATCATGCTCAGTAAGCTGTAATTCCACACCTGCTTTTTGTCATTTATTTTAGTTTATACCCTGAAGATAAAACATTTGTTAATGCATATACTTAATGTAACGTAATGTTTACAACAGAGCCAAACATGTGAAGATTTTGCACAAGATGACCAGCTGCTGGAACTATGTATCCCTTATGAAATACTTGAAGCAGGGCAAAAAAACAAATACAGGTAACAACAGTAGAGTGCTTACTACAAGTAATATAGTGAGTTCAGTTTAGTTGTCCCCAGGAATAGGCCCCTGTGTCACTATTCTGATTGAACCTTTAACTGTACCTTTAGAACCAATATACATCGATCAGCCATAACATTATGACCACTGACTGGTGAACTGAGTAACACTGATTATCTGGTTATCATTGCACCTGTCAGTGGCTGGGATATATTGCTGGCCCTTAAAAGATGAGGCATCATCAGTTTGACTTTGCCAACTCAAGTTGGAATTTTTGAGATTTTGGTTCAAATTTCCCTCTTTGTGTTTTCTCAGACCATGGCAGTAACTGTAACTGTTTCAATGTACATATGGGCATGTGAATAGTGTTTTGACACAGACTTCAAAAATGTAAACCTATCCTTTTAAAATTAACTCTACCAAAGGTGGCACTAATTTAGCTTATGAATGGACACAAGGACAAGAGATGCATTATATATTTTCTCTGTACTGATATTAAATCTTACTAACTGCACAAAATGAAAGCAATTATGAGCTCAACTCCTTCAGAGAACAACCTGTTTTCCTGCCAAGGTCCCTTTAGAATCTGATCTTGTGACACCATTGAAGATGAATGGACTACGCATATTGTAGCAAAGTCACTAGGTATATGAGGTGTTTCAAGGTTTTAGAAATGCAGCTAGTTTCCCTAGAGTAATTAATCAGTAACATTGAAGGTCACCTTTTTATTACATACCCTGTTTTTTAGTTGGGTTATACAATTGCTGCTAATGCAGATAATAATGGACAACTTAAGTGTGGTTAATATGGATCACCAAATAGCAGTTTAGCCCCCCATCCTGTATCAAATTTTAACAAGAATATGCCAGAATGTGTATCTCAGCTCATGTGTTTTTCAGGTCTCGTTGCTGAGCTTTGGTGAGATTATATGTGATATGAATAGTCAAATAGCTAGGTAGGTAGATATACGCTTCTTACACATGTACATATATATTCACGCATATATTCACGCATGTGCGCATATCTACATATATTCAAGGTTTGCAGAGTCTGCTTTGTATCAGAGTGAGAAAGCGAGAAGTGAGTGAGAAAGTTTTGTAAGGAGCAATTTGTCTTCTGACGAATCAAATCAATTAGCTTGTCAGAGTGCAGAGGAGTGTGGCCCATTATGACACAGCGCAGGCTGCTCCAACAAGCAGCTGCTCAGCTTTTCTATCAAGAAACCTGTCTTGTGTTTGTGATTGGTGCTGTGGGTAATGGGATGCAGATATCGCTGCTCTCAGTCACTGCCATTATTTATAGTTTCATAGTTAATGAAAAAATTGACAAAGGGCTAAAATCAGTCAAAGCAGACAGCAGCAGGATGTGGGGCTGCTGCTGCTTTGTCTTAGCATCAATGACATCTTTAAAATCTTCTGAATGTGGCACTTTTGTGGTGGTTGAATAAAACTGTACTGTAAAAAGGAGCATTTTAAAAATAATCCAAATCATTATTTCACTTGTCTCCTTCCTGTTTGGAGAGCTCTGCTCATGAGCTGCATAGAAAGTGACAGATTCATGTTGTTATGCAGTGTTTGATGTGATACTTCACCAAAATTCTCAGGTTTTAACAATTAAAATGATCCTTTCAATCAGCTCTGTCATCAAATAGACAACTAAAGTCCCACTTGACTTCTAGAAACACATCATCTTTCTAAAGACCAATTGTTTTGTTAACATTCAGCCGCACCCATGCGGCTTTGACAGTGCGTCTGTGGCTAACATGTGAATGGAAGCCCAAAAAAGGACTGTATTTTAGCCAATCTGAAATAAATAACTGATGAGAATATTGTAACAGGAGATGAGTTGACACATTTACTAAAGACATGATTCAAATGAAGACTGTGAGACAATTAAATGTGTCTGCTGTCAGATCATCCTTTATTGAGTCAATTTAACACAAAGCACAATGCTCTATTTTTGGCTGGACATATTGCTATAATCTTCCTTTGCGGTGAATTGATTAAAATATTTTAAAAAATGTAACAATGAGGACTTTTATTGTTGAATTTATGTTTGAAATTAGCTGGGATTGGGAGTAAAGTATTTTTGAACAAATCTGTGAATTGAAAGAAAGCAGAAATCCCATGCACAGCAGTATAAATCATTTGAGGAGGGGTGAAAAGCTGGCTATGGTTTGCAAAGCCGAAGACCTCCAACCAGGACAGGTTTTTCAGCCTTGATTTGAAACGCTGGTGCATTAATACCTTCTGAGCTGCCACGTGCCCGAGTGTTGCTGCGAAGCATGTGAATCAAGGTAGCTAAGGATTCAAAAGGCTAAGCTAAAGGTGTATGTGAGCAAAATCTAATTCCAACTGAGGTCTTCCCAGAATGGTTTAGAGTGAGTTTTCTCTTGCTTCTTCTCCTGTGAGCTTTGATTTTTAGAGTTTTTTAGGAGTTATATTCTCTGGGGCCTCTGTAAAGTGCTTTCACTGTTGAAAGCACTGTTCAATTACAGCTGAATAGTAGGAAGCTGCCTTTGAAGCATTCTTCAAACATGGCAAAATGTACCTCATGAGTTTATTTTTTTTATTTTTTTATTTCCTCTTGTGGCGTTGCCTTCATCACCGCTTTTCCCTTTCATTCCATCTGCAGTTTACATTTGGGATAGTGGCTAAGAGCACTTGGTCCACAGGTATCACTACAGAGGGTTTCTTGTTATCTGGCCTGGGCAAACAAACCAGCTATAAGGGCTTTGTGCAGGTACTTGTGATGTGAGGAGAGTGACAGACCATACAGTGGGATATTAGAGAGCCATTTAAAGGGGTGTAAAGCTATTTGAGCAACTAATTATACTGCCAGGCAAATGAGGAAAGACATGAGTTTAAGAAGTATAAACAAAAAAATACTAGTGCAATAAATTCTTTCGAATCAGACATAAACAGGGCCATTCAGTGAAATAATGGGATTATTTACACAATGGCATGACTTGACACCTCTCTAAACCCCTTGTACATTAACAACTGTCCTAATGCCCTATGCAACCAATAGTTATGTTTCCTTCACAGGCTACAATAGAAGTGTCTTGTTGCAATGAGTACTGCTAGACAATTTTTGCAAAAAAAACACATGATGTGTTCATATCGATTATACACCAAAGTAATTCACTTTAGAAAATAAACATAGGACAGACCTGTCAGCCATGTTTTGCACAGCTTACCTGAATGCACATGAAGAGAGGCAAAACTGTTGGCTTACCTCCAGAGACTACTGCTGTAGACAAGTTAATAATTCCCATTGTCAGCTTTCTTCCCCCTTACTTTCATCACTGTGCAGTGACACCAGTGTAAAATCTAATTTTTCATTTTATAAGATTGTCTCAACTATAAGGAGTCCTCTGCTCTTGTTAATGGTCTCCTGACCTTTTCTATTCTTCTCGGCACCTCTACATGCTTCCACTACAGATATGTACTGAATGATATCCATTAGGTCATAGCCAGATGTTTCTGTCCTCCACAGTTGCTGTTAGTTCCTCTACAACAACATTTAATATAATAGAGAGACATCTTCACCGGTGTAAACATAGGATAGAACCCTGTAGATGAGTAATTACAGTAATTAAATGTAACAGGTATAGTTTTATTAGAAACCAACGCAGAGGAGAGACTCATCCTTACATTGCAGATGCATCCTCTGGTGATATCCTACAGTGAAGAAGCATTCACTCCATGGATGTGTCCTCTTTTTATCACAGATAAAGATAGACAACCAGCTCATCTGGATGTTTCTTCTGAAAACTTTGCTAACACCAACTTTTTGCCGATATTACTCCTGTACTTCCTACTCATCATAGAAGTACATAATGTAACCATGAACAAGAGCAGGTTTCCAGACAATCTAATTTTCAGCACCATCTGCGACTTGTCAAAATCCTACTGGTTTACCAATAATGTGAAAACACTGTAGACAAGTTTAGATGGCATGGAGAAATTGTGTGCAACTTGTTACCTGTTTACTTTTTAACAGTCTACACTGGAACTATGAAACTGTATCAAATAAGTTTAAAGTGTATATTTTCTCACTCTCTACTCTCTTTTCCTTCATCCAGAGTGAGACAGTAGATGGTGATGAAGATGATGATGATGATCAACTTCAATCAGACACATCAGCCATAGACTCCAAGCTGACAAAAGGTAGGACACTAGTAAAAAAAAAACAATACAGAAATACAAAGAGCATAGTAATACTTTTACTTCATCTTCCTTAGTTCATTGCTTCAGTAAATGATATGCAAAGCCTTTGGGCAAATATGTGCATATGTTGAGTATACATGCACAGTACTCTAGTGTATGTGAGTGTGTGTATGTGTCATTGGTGGTGCTTATGCACAGCTGTCTGTCAGTCTGTTGGTATTCATGCTAGCAATTTCATTCGGTGATATCAGGCTTGAAATGTCTATACAGAGATGAAAGAGTCTGCTTACCACGACGCTGGCGGGACCCATAAACATGCACACAATATGCAAATTAAGACTTGGAATCACATCTATATGGAGGTGACAGGACAGGGGAAACTTAATAACTAGTCGGACCAGGGCACAAGTAAACTATCCAACCTCGCACAATAAGGATCAAGGTGCTGTATTAAGATTCTTTCATTAGGGAATGAGGCACACTGGCGACGCTTTAATCTTTACAAGAGCAGACACATCATCGCTGCTCAAGATGTAAACAGTTGCTTTGTGACCAACTCTCTCTGTCCTTTTGTTTGTCTGTCTGCATGTTTCTCTTTCTACATTATATTCTGCTTGTGCATGTCTGTGTGGGTATGTCTGTCTGTTTCTTGTTTCGTAAAAACTCATTGGCTCCCCTATTCTACTACTTCACCTTTATATTTCTTTCTTTTCGGTTCTGTCTCTCTCTGTCCTTCTCTCGAGCTTTCCTCCAGCCTTTCCTTTTGTCCTTGTCCTGAACCTTTTTCTACACTCGCTGTCAAGGAGAAGTCTAAATGCTTTAGTCAATGCATTTTTCCTTTTACTCTGAATTTGTCAGTCAAAAAAAGGACAGGCAGGAATTTTCTATCTGTTATGAACATGTAGACTTCAGAATCCTTTGTGTTCTATCTAAATCAAATTTATCTTCCTCTCTCTTGTGCCATTACAGCCTCTTTTGCCCCCATCTGTTTTGCCATCAAGGCAAAAGAAAATGACATGCTGCCGCTGGAAAAGAACAGAGTTCGATTGGATGACGATTCAGATGAGGACAAGGTCTGGTTCAGCTTGGTCTATTCAGTGTGTTTAAATCTAGAATATTTTGGTATGGATAGATTCTTGAAAAAAATATATCTTAGCACCTTGAAATTAGCAATAAATTATCATACATGTTTTCTTGCAGTTGCTGGATGAGCAGGGGCTACAATCTGTGTTAGACGGGGCTGACATGGTGGAGCCTCCTCCAGTCAGTGCACCAGAAGAGAAGAGGCCCTCTCTCAGTTTGGAGGAGTTGGAGGCAAAACAAGGTAACGTTACTAAAAAGATTGTTCAAAAAATAGTAAAATTAATAATAAAACATTTATCCTGCCCTTCTCCAAGTCACTTTATGAGTTATTAGGCAGCACTAATACAGAAAAAAAAAATATAAACATACAAAGATTTGCTACAAATTGAAATAGGTATCTAATGATCACTTGACTTACTTTATGAATTACCTTCAAGTTGAAAACAATGTTTTATTTTTATACTCTTATTTTCCTGTCTGTTTGTGCATTCAGGCAATCATCTGCTTTATTCTGCCTGTATGACTGACATAATGTTAATAAAGCATCTGACGATGGTTATGCCAGAGTTCCTTTTCTTCAGCTTCATGGCTATTTAATGTGGGAGTGCTATAATTGAATTCTTTGTCTCAGCCTCAGCATTTAAGTACAGTTGCTTACAAGACACCTCTGTCACACCCACTGGCATGCTGTTACTCTCTGGGAGGGTTGGAATTGGAGAAAAAACAAGAGGGGAAGAGAGGAGATGAATAAATCCATTGAGTCTCAATTATAAATTCTCCCAACAGGGTGTACCCTGCAGTAAGAGACAAGCTGTGTACTATAGCAAACAACAGTCATATATCTCTCCAAAGGCCTAATGGAGATGTATTCTCTCTGTTTTTGTCTCCCGTCTGTTTCTTCATGGCTGTAGAATATTACATACTGGCTCTCTTCAGTCTTTCCTAAACTAAAGTAAAGGAAAACGTGTACAGTTATACAGACACATTTACAATACATGTATTAAAACATTCTTTGCCCTGCAAAAGGTTTACACTCTGTTTGCTCTGATTAGGATTTTTAGCACCTATATCATTATTAATCAGCCGATCTAATAAAATCACTGCTTGTCTGGTGATCTTAACCATTTTTACAGAAACACCACTTTTGCCTCTTGCATGTTGCCAATTTTATTTTCAAGGTTAGAGTCACATCTCTAAAATATTCATATATTCTTATGTATCACTGGCTATTACTTTCAAAAGTAATAGGCTTTTTTTTTACTAGAAGCTGGAAGCTATTGTGCTTGAAGCTGATTCATTGCATCTTGTTATACTTTTACACCCTCCAGAATATGCAGTTGCCCCCTCTTAGCTATAGAAAACCAGACTGCTCCCCCCTCCCCTGCAGGCCTCTTTGGATTATCACAAAGCAGCTGAAATATAAAATGATATTTCATATTTCTTTGTCAAACAAAAACTGACAACCAGCAGATGCTGAAGCAGTTGCGACCGTCACTAAACCATTTGACCTGACTTGTTAGCCACAAGCCTTATTTATCAGTGTAAAAGATCTGAATTGTCATCTCACAAAATGGCCATCATACTGTATGCCTGTGTGAGCTGATCAATACTAATAACTGAATTATTACTTTAGCAGGTGCTGAGGTGTCTGCCTCTCAAACTGTCTCCATCAAAGTTCAAATACTAAAAAAAAAAAAAAAAGCAGATGTCAAAGAACAATATTACAGCATTTTGTCCTCAAGTATATTACTTTTTTACTAGATTTATTTATGGGTGTCTTATTTCTGTATTAAAAAAAATCATAGCTTAGAGTACATCACCAAAATCACCTTTGTGAATTTATTAGATTGATCTCTCTGGTAAGCATGCTAATTCATTATCATGTAGTATATTAAGTGTTAACTGTATAAAACTTAGCTTAACTTTCTCAATCAGCCTCTTCTACTATTAGTGATGAATGATTACCTCTTAGAACAGTTTTGGTTGTTTCAGAGATTTCTGTATTTGTTGATGTCTTGTACTTTCATGTCCCAGTCATAATTGACTTTGCTCAAATCAAAGTGTGATGACAGGTTTGTGTTTGTTTGCTAATGTTGCCAGGCAACTGTCAATCAAATATGATCAAACCACATGCACACAGTACTGATGAAGCTGATTAGCTGTATTTTTGAGCATTAACACTTTTCTTTTTTTTCACATAACTCATAATTGTTGCTTTTTTAGTCAGGAATATTTAATGTTACAGAAGAAAAATAATTCTCAAAGGCTTTAAAGTATCTTAGATTTGAGACAGTTACAACAATTAGTAGCTATGTGGCTGGATAGTTTAGTTAAATTTACTGAATTAGATTAAACCTTTCAAGCTTGTAGAGAGTACTAGAAAAAATATATGCAAAAGTGACACATTTTAATGCTGTGAAATCTCTATTAACAACAATAAATGAAAGTGAGTAATGTTAGGCAGAAGTACGTAATTATCTGTAGCAATTAAGTCTTTTTTATTTGTGCTGTGAATCTGAAAGATGCTTCAATGATGGAGTGATTAAAATGTTAAAAGGCCATAGAGTAATCTGTTATAGCTCTCCTTACTAAATGTCTATCTCCATGCTTGTGCTTGATGGAATGATATTTTCTGCAATACTTACCATACTCTGATGCAATGGCATGTGGCTGTCTTGCAGAGACACATGATTGAGGTGCCAATCCTCTTTGTCAGTTGTTCAGCCAAATGCCCTTGAGACCATGTAAGTCTTTAAAGACACTGATTTCATCGTTCCATGAGATCTCAAAGGAGAGAGCGAAATGTAGTAATCTCCCTTTGACCGGAAAGGCAGCTGTAAGATAGAGCCAATAAAGATGGACGGACAGACAGTTAAGACAATTGTGCTACCTTTCAGCATCAAGGGGGCTGACAGATCCCGTTTAGGTTCAGTGGAATGGTCTTGGGAGTGTAATGTTCTCCTCTGAGCTGACAGACGGCCAGAGAAAGAGGCCTGAAAAGCCTAATAAATAGCTGACTGAATTGGCTTTGCTGTGTGGCAAAGTGGCTGTCAGTCAGCAGTTCTTACTTGATCAGATAGCAGGAGAATCAGTGGCAGCAGAACGCTAATCTGTATTGATGGGTTGAAAAACAGCAACACACAGTAAATGCAGTTTTCCAGTGATAAGTACATGAATTGTTTAGGTCGCTGCAAACATTTCCCAGTGGATGTGCATGTTTAATAGTGGTTGGAGAACTCTTAAATCAGTGGCATGGAGGCTTGCAGACTTTTACTTTGCTCTCTATGTGAATTCATAATCAATATTCTCTTAATATATAATATATAACATTGAATGTGAAAGGGCTCATTAGTAGTGATAAACCTACAGAGAATTATCACCTGACTCTGCAGCTCTCCTTGACTTTATGGGGGTTAATAGTGAATTCCAGCTCATTGTTTAGCTGTCTGGCCCAAAGCTTTACTGTTTTGATTCACTCTCACCACCACTCTCACAGTGTCGGTTAGAGCAGGCAGCTGTACACTGGCAGACAAAGTTAACACCCAGCTGGTCTACATAGTGGGGAATTTAGCAGCTAAAGCACTAAATATTTACCTCAGGGATTGGTAGAGACCAAAACCATAGCTTAAAGAGAGTGAATATTTGACCAGGTGTTCCAGAAACATGACTCCAAATGAATGATAATGTTGCTCCAGATCTGCTGGATGTGTAATTAGGCCACTGTTTGCTAATAAGTTAGCTGGTCCAAAAAAGCTTTTTTTAACTTAAATGATTATTCAGGTTTTTTTGGCAATTGACTTATCAGTTAATGGCGAAATATTTTCAGCACGCTTGACAAAAAGTAAAGGGATGAAGTCCTTCATGATAAGTTGCATCAAATCAGTCTATAAATGCAGCAGTCAGATTTAGCCAGGCCAGGACAATGTGTTGTGTCACTGTCTTGGGTACAGATGGATTCTGCTCCACTTGGCTATTGTTCACACTATACTCAAATATGATTTGCCTCGGCAGCCAGCCTATTTTTAATCCTGAAGAGATAACAGTAGCCCCAGCGGTTGCATAACTTAAACTTGTTTTCCAGAAGCATTTGCTTTATACTTCACTGTCTTGTCTTGTTTTCTCTCTCACTCATCCTGTTGCTCTCTGTGCCCTGTCTCATTCTTGTGCTCTCCTTACCTATCCATCCCTTACCCATCTCTGTCACTTCATCTCTTTTCCTCATCTCTCAAAACCGTGCATATTTTCCACCCCCAATTTGACTCAGTCGCCTCTTCCCCACCCACATGTTCCCTCCTACTTTGCTTATTCTGTACAAACCTTGAATTGCATGAAATTACCTATCACAAGAGACTTAGTCAGGCCTTATAATTTAGAGCAAGAACTTTGTCAATTTACAGCACTGGGAAACTCAGAAAAATTGCCAGACATCACTTTAGTTATATGTGACAGTATATGTGGAAAATTACTCTTAACATTCTTTCTTTCTCATTTATCTTTCACTTTTTGTCCTGTCTGTCTCTATTTTTGTGTGTGTAACATTTAGGATATAATAGATATAATATAAAACTTTTTATAAAACTACTTTTATTATTGGAAGGGGAGGGTGAAGCGAGGGAGTTGCAATCTGAAACTACACTTCTTTAATTATTTGCCTTCCAAAGACCATTCACTTGCGATCAGGAAAAAGCTGGCCAAGTGAAAAGCAGATCATAACTACTATTTCCCCCCTTTCCTCTGTCTCAATCATTTTCTCCTCGCTCATAGCAGTCTGGTCAAGGTATATCTAGCTGTGGTGGAGAAAAAAAAAAGGACAATGACTACATTTTCATCCAACCTTCTCTCTCCTGTTGTTACCCTCTCATGTCCCTGCCCTTAGCCAAGCAGAAACTGGAGGATCGTCTAGCAGCTGCAGCCAGAGAGAAGCTGGCCCAGGCATCTAAGGAGTCCAAGGAGAAACAGCTACAGGCGGAGAGGAAGAGGAAGGCAGCGCTCTTCCTACAGACCCTCCGCAGTCCCTACGCTGGAGAGCCTGAGGCCAAGAGAGCTCAGCTAGACTCATCTGCGCAGCTTGAGGTATGTGAATGATTGATAAAGGTATTTGGTCAGTATTTGTCCTATGCACATATATATTTTTAACTAGGAGCTTCACCAAATCACCCTGGCCCAAGAAGCTAATCCCATATCACAAGTATTGTAGTGTCCCTTTATGTAGTTCTGTCAAAAGTACTGTTGTTTTTTACATTAATTTATAATATTCAAAAAATAAACGCTGCTGGGTTTCGTTCACTTCCTGTGGCAGCGTACCCGTGAGAGTGCTGCCAAAATCGAACCATCCTGGTTAAAAATGGATAAGGACAAGGATGGAGTTTCAGGCAGGAAATTTGCCTTTAAAAAGTTTCCGGATGGTTCATTCGAGAAAACAAAAGTAAGCAGCAAGCCAAATTTAATTACCACAGAAGTATCACCTGAAGCAAACACCCCACCGAAACCATATGGGTCAAAACTGCTGTCCAATTAAGTCGAAGATTTAGTAGAATTAGTTAGAGGACATATTGACTGAAAGAACACATTCACGGAACACACCTCTTCCCCAAGAGGAACCATCGTGTCAAGAATACACACTTTCGGTGAAGGTGGGAGGGCTTGGAAGACAAACATGGTTGAGCAAGCAAAGAACTGAGACCATTGGACTTCTGTGAGCAATGACACCTAATTGGGCATCACAGGGCACCTCAATGATAAAGAATGGAATTTTTGCATTTGTTTTCACTAGCTGTGAGTAAAACAGAAATATGTAAATATACTTTATTTGTGTTGATTCTACATTAGTTCTCTGATTTCACATTTAAAGCCCCTACAAGGAACTTTCATTTTGTGTTGATTCTGGCAGTCCCTGTGGAGAAAAGCCTTCGTGTGTCCGCCGCCTCGTCCTTGATTTTGATTTGTTGAAGGGAAATACGACTAAATCCAACCCAGTGGCACACATTAGGAATAACCATAGAAATACCCAATCTTCTGACTGATGGTCTTGTTTGTTTATGAAGGATAGAGGCATCAATATTAAATTAATCCCAGTAACTTTAAATATCCATTACTACAATTTGCAGAGCCATGTACTCTTACAATTTTAGTACAGATTATACCAGTCTAAATGAATATTTTGAACCGACATGCATACAGACTTCACAGACTTAATAGCCCGCCTCAACTTTATGTATGTGTATGTCCACTCTAAGGTCAATGGCAATTTTTTGCTAGCTCCGCTTCTTCTTTTTAGCCTCTTTCTTTTGTTGAACCTTTCGTCCTATGATGCTTCAGTATTGATTGAAGTCGCTGTCAGCTTCAGTCTGTGTATGGCTGTCTTGATAGCAGTTTTCAGTTTATATAACCATGCAATAATAGATTGAGAGATGATTGTCTCGTTGCTGAAGGAATATCTTCATGTACATCAGTCACTTATACGTCAGTATTGGAAAACAGAATCTCAAGGTCTCTCAGATATCACACATTGTTATTGAGTTGTTGTTGTTGTTGAGCAATTCCAATCAATCAATCATTTCTAAAAAAAAAAAAAGAAAAGAAAATTTGTATGCTGAATAAGTTTATCACTACGCAGCTGTTGGCACTGATAACAACGCCTAGTATATTTTCCTTGCCAAATGTTTTAAACTAAGATAGGCCCAGAGGTCTTTCCCAAGATCTTTTTTTGCAGTCTTTGTTGTATGTATGAGGGGTTTTATGTCTGCATCCTATAGAAAACAGTGTGTTTATAAGGGTGTTTTTTAACGCCTTCATGTTGTATGGTATTGAAGCTGGTAAATAACATTCAGTGTTTTGGCACCATGAGATTGATGATTTTTTTGTTAAAAAGATAAATAAATAAACAAGTTTACACCAAAAGTTTTTGCCATTAGAGTATATTTTAGATTTACCCGAAAATTGTTTCAGTAATTATATATTCCATTAATCATAAAAAATATCCATATACCAAGAAATGCACAGAGTACTGGTTGTGTGTTGTGCATGTATTGAGATCTATTCCAAGGCTTTATTGGAAAGACATGCAACAGTATAGTAGAATGACTGCAAGATCACTTGCAAATTTGGGGCATCACTGCCAGAAGTGGAAAATCAACCAATGTGGCTCCTAATTAAGGAATTAAAACTGAAACATAGAAAACTGACTTTCTTCTATCCACTGACTTCCCTGTTCACTCTTTTGGTGCCCCAGAGATAATACATAGCATCTCCTGTTAAAATAATCTTTTGTTAAGTGTCATAGGAGTACTGCTATAATGCAAATTTTAAAAGCCTTATGTCTGTCATATTAAACATGGACACAAAAGGCAGGAATACTTTATAGTGTAAATAAGACTGTGGTGGTCATTTGATGTGTAGATTGCCTGTCTATTTGATGGATGTTGCATGTCAGCTCCTCATGTGAACCCAACTGATGCGTGGTAAACTGGCCTATTGCCTTTTGGGCCAGGTGGCAGTGGGCAGGCTCCTGTCGCTATTGCGCCAGCTCTGTCACTCTTCTCCAGATGTTCTGTGACTTCTGCAGTGGCCATCAGAGCGTACGTATCTGGAAGGAACTACCAACATTCAGGCCATTGACCTATTAACGAATAAAAGGAAGTTGTAATTAAATGTAGTTAGAGGCAGATTGTGGACTTGTGTTTGTTGGTGCGTAGACTACAAAGTACTGACAGTCCATGTTAAAAAGAGACTTTCCACCAGGAGAGCTGGGAATGCAGTATGTGCTGGGGTGAAACAGTGAAATGGACAGTAACATGGCCATTAAAGGATCTAAGCAATTACTGTTTCATTTGAAGGTTAAAAGAGAATTATGTTCCCTAATTCCAAGACTGCGTCAGGTTGAGATAAGGGGAGCTCAATGGGAAAATGTCTAGAAAATAGCATTTTGTTATCACAGGGCCTGAGGGGGTGCAGAAACAATGCCGAAGTCAGATAAATAGGACAGTGGAAGTCTTTGTAATGATTTGATCATTATAGGAAGGACAATTGTTACTTTTGAGCAAGTGAAAGGAGATCAGATTGTAGTTGTTGTAAATATTCTGGTAGCAGCATTTTGTAAGTTGATGCGTTATAAACAGAATGGTGCAATAATACAGCATGTTGGGGCTTTAGATTAAGGTTTGGGATGGATGTGAATGCTGATGCCAGGTCTTTGTAGAGTTGGCTGACTTGGTCTGTTGATGTAAGCGCTCCATGTTTCCCATAGTGCTCATCATGTTGTCAATGCGACAGCACTGCAGTAGCTAGAGTAAGCTGTCATGGGTAAACAGAACCCGCTGAATGTGCTTTACATGCCGAGCCCTCTTGTCCTTTAATTGCTGTGATTCTGTAACTTTGCTGTTTCTTGGTACATTTTGGCTCATCGTGATATGATACTACTCTTTGCCCCCTGCAGCTTTTCCAACAGAAAAATAAGGTGTCATTTTGGCACAGTCCTAAAGCAGGATTCCACCGATTTGATGCATTTAAGTCTGTTTAATGTCTAACCCGAATGCTTTGACTGCCATATTTTTCTCATATGAACCCTGAATATTGTCCGGAGTTTCTCACCTGAAATACTGGAGGAGAAAGACTCAGCTGTAGTTCCGTAATGATGACTGTTTCTGCATTGATATCAATACTACATGTATTTGTACTTGTACTGCGATATCAACATAAGAGTGGAAAGCAATTTACAGGCAAGCAGAAAAGAGTACGAAGCAGCTACACCCCATCATCCATGTCAGGAACAAGCCCACTTGCTCGCTGTGGATTCTCCAAACATGGACTTTGTCCTCGTAAGCTGGCAGGGTAAAGCCTTTCTAATGTCTCAGCCACCTGATTCAAAGATCACATCAGCATCAATAAAGTTGTATAAAGTTTTTTGTTGCTCTATAAGAAGCCAACAAAATCTGGTGTATTGCCTAAAGTGATATCACTTGAGTCAGCCTCAGAAGTGAGCTGAGTGAACACACCCGAATCTCTGAGATAAACTGGTGGTGGCCAAATTGCATTGTGGGTAATGAAGGTGCCAGGTTTTGACAAGGAAGAAGAATGTGTGGAATAAAAATGACAATATCTCCTGTACTGCTGTATTTATTTTGATCATTTTTTTAAACTTTTGAAGGGTGCCGAGAACAGCAATGAATTGGAGAGTAATGAATGAAGGAGTATAACTCTTCTAAGTTCTCTCTCAGGCTGCCATCAGTGCTGGATTTTGAAACATTTTGTGGTTGAAACCTTAATTAGTGACCAGGGAGGCTCGCCTATACTTCTCACAGTGAATATCCTACTACCCTTTATCATCGATTTATTTAGGAATTAGATAGAGATTTCTGCTGCCTAGCTTATTTTATAATGTCCGACAGTGCACACATAGACAATTAGAAGAAGAAGAAGAAGTTAGAACTCATGTTTATTCCTCATTATCATTTGATCACATGCTGTGTGTAAACGGAAATATAGAGAGGGAGTGCTGATATGATTATAGTTGTGTCTGTATGAGCTGTTTTTGTTTGTTGTTTTGTCAGTGTTTCATAGTTAAAGTGATTTTATTTTCTTTGAGCATGCAAGATTATAATGGATAAAATAATGTGTGTATTACTGTGATTTTAATCAGGCCACAATATTTGTGTTTAATTTATCTGTGCATGGTTTGTCTTGTGCTGCTGTAGTTTTTACCTAAATCAAACTTATTCCTTGTCATTACTCACACGCGACCAACATGTAAATTTGTCTTCACGGTTATGTAATGATATATTTTGTATTAGTAGTTATTTTTGCTTTATGTTTGCAATCAAGTTTACCTAACGTTTACAACTTCGATTGTATACGGGTGATTCTAGTTTAACATGAGTCATCAAGACCAAGACAAATATTTTCACTGATCAATATTGATAGAATTTGCGTTCCTCCACTCTTCTCTTTTCCTTGGTTTTCCATCTCTTCTCCCTTCTTATCCAACTTTTTACTCCTCTTCCTGTCCAAACGTGCATATCTTGCCAGAGCAGGTGTGAGAGGGCAGACATTCTATCAGCCTGGTGTTGGGATAAGCTTCCCAAATGTCAGTCCTAATTTTAAACCAAGCCTTGCTTCCTATCATTTCATTATCTGTCCTTTAGCCCAGACCCCAGATAGTGTGCAAACAGAAAGGTGTAATAAATATTCTTCCTCTCTTCACTTCTCTGCCTGTTTTTGGATACTTATTGATTGTCTTCTGCTGTGAGCACTTTCTCTTGTTTTTATCTGGCCTGTACTGCCTTTGCCTCACTTGCCTCTTTCTTTGATCATTATCCTTTCCCTCTTTAGCTTTCTCCGTCCCTCTCTCTTTTTATGCTCCACCCATTTCTTACAGTTTTAAGCAGATGGGTAGGAGGTGGGGTGATTGAATTGAAGAGATTGAAGTCACACCACACATTAATTTCTTTTCCTCTCCCTGTTCATTACTTATCACTCGGGCTGTCATATCATTTATGTTAATGTTAGCATATTAAGTATGCCATTTGATGTTTCCAGATGCCCTTATAGTACCATGAATGCATACATATGTAACACGGGTGACCCCAGGAGCAATCTAAGATCCAACCCTGGAAGATAAAACCTGACCTTGGAAGATTTAGTGTCATGTTTAATCCCCTGATGGACTGAAGTCGTCTTTTCACTGTGAATCCAGCTCCAGGCCAGTTTAATATGAGCAGACAGACCCACGTTGGAGTAATTAGAGGAACTTTGCAGCTGACAGTTGTAACTCAGTGTGTAGCCAGAGGGCTACACTGTGTTGTGTATCCCTCACCATTTAATTAGCTGAGTAAGGGTGTTTTCTTTTTTTTTTTGAGGTATCCAGTTATGATCCGTTGCCCTTTTTGGTGCACATATGATTGTTTATAGTAACTTTTTTTATCTGTTTATTTATTTATTTATTATTTATTTCTGTTGTAGTTACATCTACACTACTCGATATCGAGAAGAAATCAAGCAGAGACCATAAGATGTTTTTATATTTCATTCTGTTTAATGTTTCAAACCAATGTATGTAAATATGGAACAATAGTATTAATTTACCATCAGTGTACTCTGTAACACTGACACGGATGAACATTGCAAAAATAAACTTCTAATCTCTAGGCACAGCCAACGTAGTGCATCACATGCCCTCTTCAAGTAGCCCCCATATTGATTGTCCACAGTTGTGCAGAGATATAAAGCATCTGGGAATTCATTCATTGCCCCTAATGTCAAAGAGGGAGACTGACTGTTTAATGTAATCAATACGTTGTGTGTTTTCTTTTTCTTTTTAAACCAATTAAAAAGAAAAGGTCCAGTGTCAAACTAATGCTTTCACTGATATTTCTGCTCTCTGTCCTATTCTGTCTACCTTTGTCTCTAGATGCAAGAAGCCCTGTCTATTCTGTCCTACCCTGCATCTCCTCAAGTGTCCTCTGCACCACCTGCGTTTCCTCAGGATCAAAGAACCGCCGTGGACAACCAAGGAGCCCATCGCAGCAGGGAGGCCCCATCCTGCTCATCCTCTTACAATACCTCCAGAGGAGCAGCCAGAGACAGAGATCGAGACAAAGACCGAGAGAGAGACAGAGACAGAGATAGAGACAGAGACAGAGACCGAGACAGAGACAGAGAGAGGAACAAAGGAAGGGACAAAGACAAAAAGAAGAAAAAACACAAGAAGAGGTCAAGATCGAGGTCAAGGTCAAAATCAAAGTCAAAGAGCAGACACTCCCTTCCCAGTGCCTACAGGAGAAACCGCAGGTCCCGGTAAGACACCTTGGACACAGCTATGTCCTCAATCCAAACTGACAGTGCTAGGGCTAGCAATCTTCAAGTATCTAACAATTCAATTTGATCGTGATTCCTGGTGCTGTTTTTAATTTCACACTCATTTGTGATGCAGCTCAACTTTTGATTTACACATTGTTTTTCTCACTGTATGACTATTTCATGCTCTTTTTTTTTTTCAATTCAACAAGAGGATTAGCCTGACTTTGCTCAGTGCAGCTAGTCAGTTCAGATCTTTATTGACCTCAGGTGCTGGCCCCTACAGAAGCATCACCTCACAACTTTCTTCTGTTGTTTTATTTTGTTTGTATTGTTTTTTTGTTGCCTTTCTGAAATAATCTCCTTATTTGGGACATTAAAAACCAAAACATGCAGTCCATATTCTTGGTATTCTCCCGGTTTATGTATGAACAGGTGATTAGCTGAACCTTCACAGGGATTATCAAGAAACTGAACTGCTTTAATATCTCCACAAACAATATAAACAGTATTATATATTTTACCTAGCTGAAGAAATAGGTTTGTGAATGGTACAGCTGTTCTTTTTCTTTTCCTACTTCCCTTGAAAAGGAAGGAAAAAAAAACGTGAAAGTGAAATCAATTGATAAATCAAAGCAGGGCTAAATGAGGAAGAATCAAGGAATAAAAGATTTAGAAATAACATTTGAAGATAGAATTAACACAAAGCCAAAGGGTTTAGAGGAAGTGATCAAAGGTAGAGATCAGGCTTTTTTGTTTGTGCCGTTTATCTGTCAGGCTGAAGTAAACAGTATCGACCAGACAGCTTTCTTTTACCACCTCACATTAACTCAACTGACCTGTCCTTTTTGGCTTTGTTTATTTAGAAAATAGGTATAATTTCCTTCTCCAGCCCTGACTATTCATGCCAGTGGGAAACGATGAATTTAGACCTGCCCTTTATGGAAAGTATTTAGAAAATTGAATTAATCCCTTATATTATCCATAAATATTGAATTCAGTTTTCGTTTCAGGCTAGTTTACAAAAACGCTATTTACGTATTGAGAGTCAATGTGATATGTTTAGTAAAGTAATTTACTGAATTATAATGTGTTTTTGTCCTGTGACCCAGTTGCACAGCATTTAGACCAACTGCGTAGCGTAAATTGTGCCACATGTATTGGCTTTCTTTTTTTTTGTCTTGCACATCTGTCGTTTCTTGTTCCTCATTTAAAATTCATCAACTCAGCTACCAAGCTCCCTCCTCTCTAATTTAATGGTTTCTCCCCATCTTACACACTCTTTGTCCTCCTGCCTGCTCAGATCCCGCTCACACTCCCCGGGGAGAAGGGACAGGAGGGGCCCCTCGTCAGAGAGGAAACGAGATGAGAGAGAGCGGGAGCGCTATCATCCCAGCAGCAGCTCCAGCCTGCCCAAGGGGCATTCGAGATCCAGGTAACCCTAACAGCAGATGTCATCAATCTGTGATGGAAGGAAGGGTCACAGAGCGCCACATACAGCTGTGTTTATATTAACGCTGAAAGCATTGATAATTCCATCCAGGAAGGGCACTAACCTTAATTTGATGAACGGATAGCTCTGTGTGCATATCCACTATACACTGAGCAACGTTTCAAATATATCCTAAAGCGTATTTAAGGATAGCTTTAGCCAAAATGCCGAAAAACAAGAAGAATACACTATACTCAAAATAACCTATAAAAACTGCAATGGACAGCTTCTACGTGCATGAAAATAAAATAAACCTTGCAAGGCAGCTGGACTCAAAGGATAAAATCGCAAGATCACACAATAATCTTGCCAGGCTTCAGTACGGTGTATCGGACATGAGCGTCCTTTAAAGTACTGGCAGCTACGGGGGTAGGCGCTAGTGGTGAGAGAGAGAGGTGTGACACAGCAAGAAGACACATTAAACAACACTTGCTGTGTTTACTACTGTTCAGTTTGTAAAAAGCAGTTTGCGTGTCATATCAGAACTGGAGAGTATTTCTTCATTGGCAGAAGAGCAAAGAACAGCACTCTTCTCAGGCAGACATTAAAGCAGTTATTGCTTTTGTCTTCCAGGTCCCCTCCTGAAAAAAGGAGGTCATCCTCAGGACAGATGCAAACTGTGGGTTCCTCTCTCTCCCCATATTCGTCACCCAGCAGAGTTTTGTCCCCATCAGCTAGTCCCGCGTCCAGCCTGGCCCACTCGAGGTAACTCTCTACAAGCCTGTCAATCAACCAGCTAAGCATTTATATGGCTATATCCCAGGTGGGACTGAGAGTCTCTTCACTATAGAAACAAAAGGTTGTTGGGAAGACGTGGGCTTACTGAGCTGAGAAGATACAATTTTCACTTCCTTTCCTTTTAATATGTGTTATTAGGGCCAATAGATTGTTGCCTCTAGGCCTGTGAAGATTCTGTCTCTCGTGAAACAAACAGAAGCTTGAATGAACAGACACCTCTAATAGTTCGGTACTTCAGCAGTTAGCTATTATAGCAGCGTGTCAGAATTGTGCTGATACGCTTTGTAATAGGCCAAACTTAAGATGATGTTCAATTAATTTCCTCTCTTTGAAGGCTTTTGACAAACATAAACACTCTTTGCACAAAACATGTTTTTATTACTATTTTTGTCATGGACATTGAAGCATTGAGCGTTTGCAAACCCCCTCTGTATCAGAGTGTAGGCTACATAGTGGCTTTCTTCTGCTTTTTATTGGATTTGGGGTAATTTATACTCCAGTAACCCCAGCCAAACGTGTTAGCTAGGGTGGAGTTACCTTCATCAAACACATCAGTCCTCATCCTAAAAGCCTCAAAGTAAAACATAGTGTTTTAAAATATGAATAAAAAAGCATGCATTTTTAAGACCCTT